CCCCCCACATACACACAAAGCTATATATTAGGAGTTCTTATTAAATTTTTGTTTTTCATTTTTTTGATGGTTTATAGTTTTGTCAAAAAAAAAACGGTATTATTGCTGCACAGTTGTTTTGCAGTGTTAGAATTTTTATATCTATATATATATTTTTAAAAATGTAAGCAGCTAGGTACAACTTCGCAACAGAAATATATAGGCATTTGAAGTTCCCCCAGGGATCAATAAAGTATTCTGATTCTGATTCTGATTAAATTATATTTTATTTTACGATCCGGAAGTTGACGTTAATTTAGCGCACACTAGGAGCGGCTTTATTTTGTAAAACAGAAGCGGAAGGTGTCGTGTTTGTTACTGCTCGTTTGTGTGCGGAGGAAGTGGTTTGTCCACAAATTTTACTATTATCCGCCTTATTTGTGTTTTGGAATAACATCACAGAAAAAGCGAAAGCGGTAGCTGGATTCTTAAGATACAAACACCAGCCATTAACTTGCTTTAGACAGCTAGTCTGCTAGTTAGCATAGCTGACAACTTTTCATTCATTGCTGCCTGTGTACTCTTCTTTGTTGCTAGCTAACGGAAAGACCTCTTCACAACATTAGCTAGCTGAGCAGTTGCGAAATGTCGTTACCTCTTTGTTTTGCTTACAATCCCATATTAGTGCAGTTATTAGCGCAAACACCGACTCAGTGCATGTAGTTATGTTGAATTAGTTGCCGATTAGCTAGCAACATTTCCTCAAGCAAGCTTATCAGTTGCATGAGCTATAACGCAGTTTATAATACAAAGCAACGGTCTATACATTAAACGTGTCTATAAGTAACGAATTATTGACGTCGAGGGTCATATTTTGCTGTTACTTTCTTGGTTGTTAGTAGCAGTAGAAAGTAGCTAACGTGTTAGTCTGTATCGGTTTTTGTCGTGAAATTAGCTGGACGCTCAGCTAAAAGAATAATAATTGACAAAATAATATTTTCTTGCAGATATCTGAGTGATTCGTGCTTTGAGACACAGTCAAGTCTTTCAAGTGGAGGAGAACACCTTGCGGGCGAGGAGATAATTAGATGGTGGTGTGCAACTGAGGTGATAACCAATCTTCTTAGCATTTTTACTTACACTAACATACTAACTGGACTCATGAATTCAGCAAACACAAAATACATCTGCAAAATTCTGATATAGAGCAGGCACCGCAATACATATTTTTATTAATGAATGAATACATATTCATTCATGTAGTGCAATGCCCCTTGAAGTATTTCTGATTTTAAATTTCAGAAATATTTGAAAAATGGCTTCATTTGGGTTTTTTTGTTTGTTTGTTTGTTTGTTTTTTAGCCCATCTTGTCTCCTTTCCCATCGGTGCAATAATGGTGAGGGGTGGCATTTTTCATGAATAAGTGAGAAGAAAAACCTCTGTGGTCCTCTTGCTGCACCACACACTTCCCCATGGATTCAAGCAATGATGAGGCACTTGATATTATTATCACCAATGTGGTGGCAACCTTTCGGACTCGGTGTCACCTCAACCTCCGCACCATTGCCTTAGAAGGAACAAATGTCATCTATAAGCCAGAAGTAGGGGTAAGTGTATTGTTATTGGTGAAACTAGAGAATGCTGCATTCATGTTAACAGTTAGAACCGAGACATGAAATTGTGACTTCTCTTTTTTTGTCCTCAGAAAGTCCTGATGAAGCTTCGTAAACCAATGATAACTGCTTCAATCTGGTCTTCAGGGAAAATCATCTGCACTGGAGCAACAAGGTAGACTGACACTCATAATGCAACATGCATACACACACCTATACCTAACTAAATGTCAGATTATTTGCTTCTTTTGGCCTCAGAAGTCTTGCTACTTTATTTGTGGGGCTGTACTGCTACGTCCCTTATCATATGCAACTAATGCAGTTAGCATTTCTCTCACATGAGAGCTGAATTACTAGTCCCCCGAATGAAATTTAAAAGTTTTGATTTAATTTAAAAGTACAGAGTAAACTAAATACTAAATTGCTATAACTATGTTTCAATTTATCAGCAGTGTAGAAATTTCAACAAGGGTTTGAGCTGTCATTTGGGAAAGCATCATGCCAAACTCAAAAGAAATCGGGTCGGACTTGAGAAAAAGAATTGTTTATGCTCACAAAGCAGGAAATGAATATACAAAGTTATCACATTGGATATCATCAAGAAATTCAAAGAGAGCCACAGAGTACTTACACAAGTGTGGCAAAGGTAGGAAGCAAAAGATTGCAAACACTCTGGAAAGAAAAGTCGTGACAGATGTGTCTAAAGACCAACTCCAAAGACACTAGTGACTGACTTAGCCAAGTCAAGAATTGTGGTAACAAAGAAGACACTCACTAGGATGCAGACCAAGAAAAGCTCTACTTCTGCAGAAGAGACATCTTAGGGCAAACTGAAACATGCTAAGAACAACCTGGAGAAGGATTATACATACTCAAAGTGAATTTTTTGGTCAGATGAGATCACACTAGAGCTCAGAGACACACTGTTTATGCTTGGAGAAAGAAGAATGCCATCCCCACAGTGAAGCATGGCGGTGGGAGTGCTGTGCTGTGGGGACGCTTCAATAAAGGAATCCTAAATAAGAAAGCTATGCGAAGATTTTGAAAAAAAAACCTCAAGCATTCAGCAGCAAAACTGGGTCTGGGTTGCTGCTTGGTCTTCCAACACAACACCGATGTAAAACATACAGCTCTTCTGGTGTGGAACTACCTCTAGAAGACCAAAGTGAGCGTTACTGACTGGCCTGCACAAAGCCCTGACTTGCAGATCATTGGAAATCTATAGAATAAACTGAAGACCAAGGTCCATGCTCGCAGCCCATTAAATCTGAAGGAGCATGAGAGATTTGCTAAAGAACAATGGGCTGAGACTGCTCAGGAGACGTGTGTGGGGCTTGCTGAAAACTCCAATTAATGACTGGAGACTGTTATCCAGCAGCATCCACGCAATTGAAAATTGGCGTCGGGAGGCTAATGATTTTAACCCTGGTAGTTTTTGTCAAATATTTTTATTTCTCTGTGCAAAGTCAAATAATATAAGCAGCCCAAGTAAAACTAGAATGTGCATGAATAATACTTCTGTCCTCATCTGTATTAGCCCAGTTTAGAGGTTTGGATTGTAAGTATTACTCAATTACTCAAAAATATGTTAGTTTCTGATTATGGTTTGTATACCAAGGAATTCATTTCACTGAGTTATGCTGCCATTTATCCGTTCTTTTCTCTTCCTCCTTTTTTTTTTTTTTTTTTTTTTTGTTAAAGTGAGGATGAGGCAAAGCTCGGTGCTCGCAGGTTAGCACGCTGTCTGCAGAAACTAGGCTTCAAGGTAAGAATAATCACAGCAGCTGGTTTTGCATGGAAATACACAGTCAATCTGTTATTTGTTTAAACTCAGCCTACCTGAACGTTGTCCCAACTATTAAGACCACAGAGTCCCCATCTTCTGATGGTTGTTACTAGCAGGGTAACGCACAGTGTCACAAAGCTCAAACTACCTGAAACTGCAGTTATCTACATTAAGGCCATAAGACCTAAACTGGATTTCTCCTTTAATTATTGGACCTAAAATAAAAAGAAGTGTAAACTCATAAATGCGTGTATTTTGTGTCTCATATGTTTATGCTGTCTGTTCAGGTGAGGTTTTCAGCCTTCAAAGTTGTGAATGTGCTGGCAGTGTGCTCCATGCCATTTGCAGTAAATCTTATAAACTTCACGAAGAATAACCGACCCATTGCCAGGTAATGCAGTGCTGCTAAGTCACAACTGTTGCAACATTAATTAAAATCAATGCCATCATTGTCATCGTCATTATAACTATCCTGATCAAGCTGTAGCATATGTTTATCCACAGTCTTATTGCTTTCTGCTGTTTTTTTTGGGTCGTTAGCTTCATGGTGTGATACCATATTGAAAGAAAATAGTGACAACTGTGATTTCAAGTCCTGACATGAGCAGCAATAATGTTCAAAGTGAACGGGGAATAGAAGTTTAATGTTTGCTAGTGGAGGATGACCTCTAGTGGTTAGAGTAAACCTCACCGCATTGAGTGCATGTACCTGACACTACAGTGGAGCAAGCAGGCTGAAGAAGTATGTGTGTGTGTGTACTCTAGTTGTTGGATTTGGATTACTGTTGTACATGCTATCTGACAGAATATAGGCTGGCATCTAAACATGCATCAAGTCCGTTACTCACAAAGCTGTACGTATAACTTTTCCGATGTGCACACATGTACTAAAAACTTTTTACCATTTACAGTTATGAACCTGAGCTCCACCCAGCTGCTACATACAGGATCAAAAATCTAAAGGCGACTATACAAGTGTTCTCAACTGGCAGCCTCACAGTTACAGGTATCTCACTCCTTACGAGGCTCAACACACACAGACACATTAAGTATCTTACCCCTTTTTATGTACAGCTAAGAAGGCACATTGGCTTAAGGGATTGAGGTCATGTAAAATGAAAGCATTTTATAACTTGTTTCAATGAGGAAAGCGGTTTGTAAATAACCCAATTCCTCCAAGAATTTTACTCAAGCAAAATTGTTTTTTGTGCTTCCTTTCGTGTGGTGCACTGTTTATCAGGCTAAAGTTGAAACCCAAGGCGGTCTTTTTTTTTTTTTTTTTTTTTTTTTTAAAGCTTCTATTCCAGTTCTGTTGTTTTTTCTTTGTCCTGATATATTTTTGCTGATCTTTTTCTGCTTTCACACCATCACTGGATGGCTTAGGACCAAATGTTCAGAACGTGGCCACAGCAGTGGAGCAAGTCTACCCGCTACTGTTTGAGTGTCAGAAACCCCGCTGCAAATGAAACGATACAAGACTAAGGACTCGAGCTATTGAGTACTCAAAACGGACGAAGAAGCACCTTATCCTTGGAATTGCTTGCTTTGGTTTCATCACTATGTGGCAACAGCCACAAACGTCTGAACTCATTCATAGGCTGGGCTTGGAATACCACACTTGTAACGTCCTAAAATGTCCTCGTTATATTTTACAAAATTTTAACGTTGTTGTGGAGTTGTTGGGATCTTGTGATTTTAACAGCCTAAACCTGCAAATGTCTTCCAAACTTAATATCCTTCAGCAGGCACCCGTCCTCCTCACCTGACAGTGAAGAGGCAGGAAGTTATTTGCTGTAGCTTATTTGCTTTTGGATGTCTCTGCATGGACAGTTAAAGACCATTTTGAAACTATTTAAGATTTGGCTATATATATATATACATATATAAAAAACCAAAAACTGCCGTCCAAGGTTTGTAAAAGTCCTGCACAGGTACTCTGTATTACCCGTGTTATTGCTAAAGGAGAAAAACTGCAGACAGAGAAGTGGAATATTATCAGTGTACACAATGTAAGAGCAGGCCGATATGCAGAAACACATCCACTTACAACTTAAACACACCTCAAATTTACTTCCTTTTGTTCAAAATAAGGCACATTTCATTTCTTGTTGTTTCTTAATAGTTTTAAGAACATTTTGCAAATATGCTTGATGTATTTTAATGTTTTGACATGTTGAACACTTCTCAAAGGTTAAGAATATTTTCAGTTTTCAAGTGACGAGTTAAGCTGTTCATTGAACACAACCACTTGTTAGACAATATTGAGGAGATTTTTTTTATTAGCAGAGGACTAAGAAATCATTAAAACACTGTCCACAATTGCCAGTATACACACACACACAAAGTAGCAAAAACATAACATGAAAAAGTAACTGACTCATAATTACAAAAGCAGCCACTCTGTGGAGTCGTACAAAGTTGTATGGCAGCACTAACACTTGTCGAAAAGGTTTCGTAATACATTCATGTGAATTCTTGAGGCAACCATGAGTGTTCGGACAGGCATAAAGGCAACATGTATGTATGTATATAAATGCATCTGATAGAAAAAATGTTGATTAAAAGCTTAGACATGCTGTTTAAATGTGTGTATGATGGAGTACTTTTTGAACTAGTGTCAACTGAAAAATTGTGGCACTTGGATTTTTGTATTTTGTATAAAAAAAAAATAAAAGTGAACAGGCAACCAGTGGACTACTGTGTGGTGTGTTTGCTCCCCTTTGCATGACATTGCTTTTGTGTGTGTGAACATATCCCGAGTACATGTGGAGAAGGCACTTCCCAGTTGATTTGTTTTTTTGTTGTTTTTTTTTTCCCTAGAATGTCTTCCATACTGTCATTAACGACTGAGATTTCCATGTCAGGCTTTGCAAACACACATTGCAACATTTAAAAGGTGATGCAAGTCAAAGTACAGGTTATAAAATGTAAATGTTTTACTCGTGCATAGGGCATCCGCTATAGAATTTGTATTCTTAAACTCATTACAGCATCGTACTAATAGAAAATAAAAGAAGGAATCGGTCTAAATCACAATTCATGCCAAACATGGCTCCTGAACCTCGTGATTTGCTTTTTTTCGCCGATTCTTTTTAAACATTCAGTAGCCGGTCTTATACAGGTAGCTGCGTGTTCCCATAAAATGCAAATGAGGAGACAAACAATTCCTTCCATATTTCATGTGGGTTTGCAACACATCCACTAACATAACTGGTATGACTGGTTTGGCCCTTGTGTACCACATTAAATATGACAATGGGCACCAATAAAATGACACTGTGCTTAGGAATAAGCTTGCCCTCCTACAAAGAACGAGTACCAGTTTGGGCTATTAGTGTTTGATTTTAGTTAATATAATGCCAGATTTGCTAGATGAATTTTTTTTTACTCAAAACGGAGAAAAAAAAAATGTAAAAACTGATGGAAATTGAGAAAAAGATTTTCTTTTTCTTGAATATAACAATTAATACTAGAACCTAATACTAGCTATGCTCATTTTAAAAAAATCAAAGGCTCCATGATGGGATCACATATGGGCATCATCATCATCAAGAAACAGCTGTAACTACAGCCAATATAGCGACGTAGATGAGATGATTGTTGCTGAACTGCAGAGCTCCTTCAGTGACAGACTGCTGCATCCTAGATGCATGAAGGAGTGTTTCCGCAGGTCCTTCCTCCCTGCAGCTGTCAGACTGTACAATCAGAACTGCTCCCAACAAACATAGATGTTTACATCTGCGCTGTAACTGCAATAAGTTAATTAACCGATTCGCACTACAACCTGGTTTGCCTCTTACCTGTAGTTATTTTTATTTAATTTAATAACTGTACAGTACTCTGTTTATAATAACCATTGTCCTTAATGTAAATATGTAAGAAAAATTGTGTATGTTTCTGTTCCGTGTCCTGTGTACTGTTTGTTTGTATATGTGTCTTTTTGGCTGCTGTTACAACCAAATTTCCCCTTGTGGGACAATTAAAGGATTATTCTAGATATATGGATATTTTTGATTGTATATTGTCTTGATCGTTGCTCTTGACTCTCAGGACAGTTGTTGTGTAGGTTTGCTGTCCCTGATCAGGCTCTCTTGAGGCTGAACCGGCCTGGAAATTCTCACCTTAAAAGTCTTCCTGTTAAACAGGGAGTGGAGAAACAGAAGGTAAAAATCACTTTCACAAACCAGTTTACTAGATGTTGACGGCATAGACGTCAAATGTTCAAATTCAAATTCTATTTGTCACATACACAGTCATACACAGTACGATATGCAGTGAAATGCTTAGACTGCTCGTGACCTAAAGAAAAAAAGACTGAATAGGATAGGAAATAAATATGAAAATTAAAATGAAGGGTAAAGGGTAAATTTAGCTAGGAAGTGTTACCACTCACTTCTTAGCTAGCTCTTTTGAGATCTCCTCCAGTGTGCGACCTTTGGTGTCAGGGACAAAGAGGACGACGAATACCAGCAGAACAAAGCTCATGGTGGAGTACAGGAACATAACATTGGGCACACCGATGTTTTCTTTAAAAAACAAAAAACGAAACAATTAATATAATGCAATACCATACTTGCTGCATAAGCAACCCCGTTTCCCAAAAAATTGAGACATTATGTAAAAAAATGAAATAAATAAGAAATGATTTGCAAATCATCCAAATTTAATTTAAAAATTCCAAATGTTGATACTGATGAATTTTATACGCATGTTCATTTTCCTTCAATAGACCAACAACACGTCCAAGCTATATACCACTATCTTGCTATGAAACCTGGGATAACAATTAAGTTCCATGATTGCCCACAATGTTCAGGCAGCAGCGTATTAAAAGCAAAAACTGAAATTTGCACCATGAGTTCAGGAATTTGTAAGATCATATGAGTGCACTACAATATATGACATGCATAACTTGCACATCTTTGAATGGATTATGGCTGAGCAATGTATACAAGGACATCAAATCAATCAATCAATCTTTATTTATAAAGCACTTTTCATACAGAAAAAATGTAGCACAAAGTGCTTTACATAGTTAAAAGCAGCCCACCCCACCCTCCAACTCACTCCCCACACTCTCAGTACACATATATCCCCCCACCCACACACACATACACACACGCGCACACTTAAAGAGTAAAAATTGGGCTGGGCTCGCATGAGCCAAGTGAGGAAACACTATAACAGAGAGCCGTCTGCACCGGGAGCCGGTCACAGACCGCAGCCTCCAGGCTGGGCACACAGCCGGAGGGAGGCAAAGGAGCCCCCCAACCAGGCTGAGAGGACCCCAGAGACCCAGCAGCCACGGTCAATAACAGCCCCGGTGCAGAGAGCGCCCTCCGAGGAAACACTGGAGATATAACGCAATACGATGTATACAGGGTAAAATGATAAAATAAATAAGAACAGGATATAATATAAATAGAAATAGAAATAGAGTAAGAAGATTAAAAAATGAATAAGAATAAAATCAAGAAATATTAGGTAAATCCTAAATTAATAATAGAATAACAGGACAGAATAAATAAGCATAAAAAATAAATAAACGCTAAGTAAAAGCTAAATTAAAAAGGTGGGTCTTGTTGCCATCTGGTCAACATCTACTTCAAGGAAGTTCTTGCTTATTTCAGCAAGCCATTGCCAAACCACGCTTAAACAAAAATCTTCGAACAGTATAGCGCAGTAACTCAGCTGATTAAGCAAAAATGTTTGACTGTTTGTGTTACCATAGCACCACTACTTGTCACACAATAAATAGCGCTACTACACCTCTGAGTGTTCCCTTTTTTTAATTAAATATTTACCTGTCAGACTTACAGACTGACTTACGTAAAGAGACAAAAGGTCCCTAATTTGCATGTTGCAGCAGTAATTATACAGTTTGGAACTTGCCCTTTAGCATGACTGGTAGGACTGCTTTGAGCTTTGTTTGTGTAGCCACCCTACATATGACAGGGAGCAGTATTGCTGCTTATTTTATAAAAGATAATGTCAACACATACACATACCGCATTGTTACAATAGTATGACTAAAAAGTTAGAGTCCAGGAGCTAAACTGGCTTCTTGCTTGCAGTCCAGACTTGTCAATCATAAAAAATACACACAAACATTTGGCATTTTAGGAAACCAGAGCAACAGGTCTGCAATTGCTTTGAACTTTTCTCAATTTTGACATCTGGGCAACACAGCGATGCACTGGTAACGCTCATAGTAAGGTTTCTTATTTAAAAACCTCTGGATGCTTCTGTTTCTTTCCACAAGATTAACGATTTAAAGTCAAATTAGTCACAAGTATGAATATAAAAGTCTGGGTTTGTCTGTTTTCTGACATAATGAGAATTTGTCTAGGGTTTACCCTGTCTCTTTCTGTATGACGACTATGTATTTTAATTTTTACATGTTACTAATAAAGGAACATTTAAAATATAGCTGCATAACCTAGTTTAAGTCCACTATATAGGCAAATGTTTGGCAAACAATGCTAACCAGGTGCTAAAATAAAGAGATGCCAAAATGTGAACACTAACTAATTGGGTTAGGTGTGGTCTTGGGCTTGATCTTGGCAGTTCTGTTGGAGGATAGTAAAATTGTAAAAATGTGTTTTTTAATATGATTATCACTTATCAAACAGAAACTCTGTGTTAAATTATACAGCGTTTCTGTGAATTCTTGCACTAGTTTAAACACGTCTGGTGCAAATACATGTCAGTGTAGGCTCTCAGTCGTTCAGGCCATGGTAGTCTAAGGAGCTTGGAAAAGAAAGCGATTCGACTTTAAGTTCAAGTCTTTAAGTTTCTTAAAGATGTTTCACTTCTCATCCAAGAAACTTGTTCAGTTCTAAAACCAAATGGTTGAGAGTCCCAGGTATTTAAACCCTGCTGGA